TCCAGACTGATTAGCGAGTGAAACCTTGAAAGCTCGTGAGATCAGGATGGTCACACGAGGCTAGCCAGATGTGCCCATAGCTTCAAAATGAAAAATCTTCAGATCTTTATACCCTGCAGATGCAATTTTTTAATAAGAATTACCTTTTGACAACAGATAATGATGAACCTAATATTTGGTATAAAAGTTGGTATTTAATTAAAGCTAACTGAAACTATGTAGAATTTTTTTCTTAGATTTAGAAATTAAACTGAATGCTGAAAACGAGTTAAAAAGAAATTATGCCTCCAACTGCAGGTCAACATCTGCGCAGACGCACCAAGATGCGGACAGGGGATGGGCGGCTGTGAGATAGAGAACGGGCAGGCGATAAGCCCCGTGGGGGTGGAGAAGACACTCAAGTACTCCACTGATGGTGCATTACAGCTGACGTATAAAGGAAGTCTGGATGAGACATCAGGTACTATAAGCAAATAATAAATATCTTTCAAACAAAACATGGATTTAAGTGCAGACAATTTTAAGATTACCTTAAAATGACAGTTTAAAAAGATGTATTTGTTTTTATAAACTTTTCTTTAAGTGATTCCAGTAATTATTTGTTGCTAAAATGTTTTAATAGTAATCTGTTCATTGTGTTGCTCAGTTTAAACAGTAGGAATCTGACTTTATCACATCTTAACTCCTAAATAGGCTCCATTGCTGTGCTCTATGCCTAATGAAGGGACCCTAGAAAGCAAACCTTTTTCAATAATTATGCAACATTGATGTAAACTGAAAAAAAAACCCCATTTCTTTTGGTCAAGGACTGTTTGTTCTGTTTCGTTCTCTTAATTTTTCTCCCTCCTTTGTTTTTTTTTCTTGCTTTTTTTTCCCAGCAACCAGAGACACCTTCACCATCAACTTTGTGTGTAACCCAAAATCTCACCCTGGATCATTAAAACTGGTGAGAGAAGACATGAGTACTCTATCCAGCCACGTTGTCCATGAAGCCCTGTTCGAGTTCTCTACAGCTCTGGCCTGCATCCCCGCTCCTGTCGACTGCAGGATCGTTGGTAGGCTCACAAACGCACTCATTCACTGTTGGTAAGGAATAAAGGTTCAGTTCTAACTGCAGCAAAAATCTTAAATCATGTTTTTAGATCCCCATGGAAATGAGTATGATCTGAGCCACCTGATCCGAGACGAAGACGACAGCCCCTGGATCCCTATGGACCCGGGTGCTGGGACATCACGCAAATTCTACATAAATGTCTGCAAGCCGCTTCCAAGTCATGAAGAGTGTCCAGGTTAGGAAACGTCCCCGTTTTGACTCTTTACAGCTTAAATAAAAAGTGACATTTACGACAAACGGCAGAAGATTTGGTTCCTCCCCTTCATACTTGTAGCCGTCTGTCCGATTTCTCCTCAGTGGGTCCTCTCGGAGCTTGTGGCGTGATAAATGGGAAAAGTTTCAACCTGGGTTACATACAGTCCAGCCCGCAGGTGGCAGATGAAGGCTCCATCACCATCATGTACCAGAACGGAGACAAGTGTGGCGATTCATCCACGTACTCGACACGCATCTTACTACAGTGTGCCGATAACCCGGTGAGAGCGAAAGCAGTCACAAATTTTTAATCTCTGGATCTGATTTTTAGTGAAAGAACTTTTGCCAAAAAATTCTGATATAGATTTATCTAGATATTTATAATTTAAATACATTAGGCATGAATAAAACATCCCTGTGCAGTAATTGCTCCAATCGTGTCACAAAGCTAACCTAAACAATTGCAGCTAGTCTGATATAATCATGTCTCTATTCATGACTGTTGACTTTTAGGGCTCCCCCATGTTTGACCGTCAAGATGGCTGCGAATACGTCTTTGTGTGGAGGACATCAGAGGCATGTCCGATCAAGAAGGTTAAAGGTAATAAAATGTCAGCATGCAGTGAGGATTCTGTGAATCCCAAAAAAATCCTGCGAGAGTAAAATTGTTTCTCTAACCTTTTTCTCGCAGGGGAGAACTGTCGAGTTCGTGACCCCAAGAGTGGCTATGAGTTTGACTTCAGCTCTCTGAAGGACAAGGATTTTTCCATCCCCAGTGACAAGTACACCTACCACCTGTCAGTCTGCAGCGCGCTGCAGAAAGATGTCTGCCCACACAAAGGCACAGAACCTGTGTCTTCCTGCCAGGTGTCTGGAAGCACTCACAAGACTGCCGGTGAGGAGATGCAGACGCATCAAAAACAGCAGGATCATCCTTTCTTTTGTCCTTTGTGTAGAACTGTTCCCTCCCACCTTTTAGATCTAATTGTGTGTGTGTTTGTGTGCATGCAGGATTGTCAAACCAGATACTGAATTATGTCGGGGATCAGATCATCCTGAACTACACCAGTGGAGACACCTGTCATAGAATCTATCAAAGATCCACGGTCATCAGCTTCTCTTGCCACCCTGACAAACATCCTGTAAGTCTCACCTGGTTCGCAGTCCATTTTGCCTCACTTCAGTCGACCATGTTGAATTTTCTGTACATTAATATATTTGAAGTGTGGTTTATGTCCTTAAAAACCAAGTTAAATTAGAGTGTAAGGTCACTGTTTTTCATTCTTCAGGGAGTACCAGAGTTCATTAAGGAGACTCCTGATTGCACCTACCTGTTCAACTGGCCCACCGCCCTGGCTTGCGTCCCAGCCAAAGCTACCAGCTGCTCCTACAAGTAAACATGCATACAACTTTGTTTTTTTTATCTCAAGTCTCCTTCTCCTATGAATACAAATGTTGAAAATCAGTCGAGCACCAACGGTTATTGTTTTATTATCTGTACTTTTGTTTGCTTTTCAGAATTTTGTCTGTCCAGGGCTAGACTTTAAAACAAACTAGCATAATAGTATTATAATATAATTTAACTTAATTAATCGCACACTGGAGAAATTTACCCCTGCATTTGACCCATCCACTTGGGAGGCAGTGTGGGGGTTAAGGGTCTTGCTCAGAGGCCCAGAGTGCAGGCTGTGGGGATCGAACCGGATACTTGCAACCTTCTCAGAGCACAAGTGCACTGCTCACCTGCATAGGTCTGCATACCTATAATAACTTTTCATTAAAGGTATTGTGGAGGATTTTTTAAAAGACCCGCCCTCTCCACTTTAAAAAGAAAAAGGCGCGTGCAAGAGCATGCACAAGCCCATTTCTGCTTGTGCAAGCCTGTTTAAAATGTGCTGTTGTCACAGTTTATACAAGCTTACAGTGTCCTCACACAGCGGGGACTATATGATGGACTTTATAGCAAACTGACCGCTCAGACACATGATCACAGTGCCTGCGCCATCTCTGTTATTAGTCGCCGATGTCGGCTAGCGGTAGCCTATGGCGACAGCAGGTCGCTATGACAGCTAATCCCATAATGCTTTGCTAGGAGAGCTCTCCTCGCAAAGGATTCCAGGATTAACCTGACTCCGCCAGATGGATTTACTCCGCATATCCATCTGGAAACCTTTCGTTGAAGTAATTTTGGGAAGGGGCGA